TACTGAAACAGAGCTGTGTACCAATTGCTATGGGATGCAGAAAAAGGAGCAGCTGGGATGAGGGTTGGGTGGGGCATATTCACAGAGGTGACATTTGAACTGGGTCTCAGGGCAGAAGGATTGGCAAATAAAACACCCAGGTACAGAGTATTGTCAACCGGGCTGCAAAGTCAGAGGAGGAAGGAGGAAGCTGCAGATCAGGACTGAAAAGGAACCCATGGCCAGATCATAAGTGATCCTGAAGAGTTTCTATAGGTGGGAGGACACCAGGGCTTGTAATTGTGAGGGTCACATGGTCAAATGCATGTTTAAGACACATATCTTTGGTAACAAGGTGGAGAAGGAACCGAGAGGGACAAAAGTACTACTTATTGAGTTCTGTCTACATGCTAAGTGCTCTGCTTCACCTCAGCAATCCCATAAAGCATTTTACAGATGAGAAAACTGAGGCTTAGAGAAGCTAACTGCTCAGTTAGCAAGTTGCAGAGATGTAATTAAAACCCAGGCTTTCCCAACTCCAAAGGCAATACTTGTAACCACTGCACTATACCACTTCCCTGTAGAAAGACAAGAACAGGCTGAGTCACAGTGATACAAAGGACATAGAACCTACTGCTTTCAACATATCTTCAAAACTTGGAGTTCTGTGTTTAGTTCTAGTCCACCTTTAATTAGTAGTATTCCCTGCCAGCTGAGCCAGTGGGTTTGGAAGAACTTAATTATAAAAAAATCGTAGAAATTTATATACACAGATCTGGATTCTTCCATTCTCTTCTAGGAAATTCTTACCTCCAAACTCTCAAGATCTGAAGCATTAGGACAAAGAATGTAAACGCTACAGGATAAACAAGAAGTGTGCCTTCTCTCTATTGTCGCTAAGGAAGACTGAACATTTAAGATCAAGCATCTCAAATGTTTGGACTTTGTTAAAAATTAGAAGACAAAAAAGAATTAGGTTTTGCTAAAAATTAGGACACATATCTTAGGAAAGTGCATTTTAATTGTACATATTAAATTAAAAAAATATATATATTAGATTTTTAATTACCCTAGTAGCTTTATGTAAGCTTTGTGCATATCAGCGGTGGGCATGATTCTCCCAGCCCTGTGGCCCCAAGGACCCTGATCCAGCTTGTCTTCCTCCCGCACCTCAGTCACGCCCTCCCAGGGTCATAGAAGCCAAGCTGTGTAGTTGCCACTATGCACATGCAGCTACTGAGCAGTTAAACTGCAGCTGAATAAAATAATAATAAAAAAAATTCATACTTTCAATTTTATATTTAATACAAAAAGTAAAATATCTCAATAGTTTTCATATTGATTACTTGTTGAAATAATACTTCCAGACATACTAGGCTAAATAAATTAAAATTAATTTCACCTTTTCAAATTTACTTTTAGAACTTCTAGACAACTTAAAATGCCACATGCAGCTTGCATTCCACTTCTACTGGTAAGTCCTGCTCTGGCCCTGTCATTACCAATAACTGCAATCTCCTGTTTTCAATTTCAAACATTCTACTCTCCAAACATCACCTCTCATCTTTCAAGCTCACTCCTTCTATTAACCTAATGCCAACAATTCTTCAACCCCAGCAAGACCTACAATTCAAGGATTCACTGTCCTTCACTTCCCACTACACTTCCCAACACCCAATCTATATTCCACGGTCTGCCTTTTTTACAATCTCTCTCCTACACCTCAAAACCCTTGCACCCCCCTCTCTTCCACATACCCCCGACACAATCTCAACCCTAATTAAATATAAATCACCTAACTTGGGTCTGTAGTCCTGCATCTGAATACGGTTGTGGCCAGCCAGCCAGGCACAGCATCTGGTCTCATTTAAAATCATGCCTTTGAGTGGCTCTTTGATGCTGCTCAGCTATCTTCACTGTATTTCCCGATTATATTCTACTCTCTGCTCTCTCCTCATACCTTCAATGACTCCTCCTCCATTCTCATTCTCTCAATAATGACCTTGCTTCCTCTCTCACTGACCAATCAGAAGAGAACTTCCACACGCTCTCACCATCATCCACCTGCCCACCCACTGCTTTTGTGCCCATATACTTTGTCTCCCCTTCTGCTGCTACAGAGGAGTTGCCCATGGTCCATCTAGGGCCAGGTCCTCCATGAGACACCAAGTCTCACCCTTTCCTGCCTGCAAAGGAATGGTTAAGCCCGTCTCCCCTCTCTTCCATGCCACTGATTTTTTTTTTAAAGCTTTTAATGTAAAAAAAAAGTACAAGAGACGGCATTTAAAAAAACAAGATAATTAAATCATAATACTTATATCCCTTTTAATTTGCTGTAATAATTTCTTTTCTTTGGGGAATTCTTTTTTATGCTCATTTCTTCCCCAAGAAAAATGACTAAAAAATAACTTTTCTGACATAAAAAATGCCTTTGGGTCTCCCTGGGAGCAATAAACACTGGGTACACTTCTCAGTGACCACACAAACATGTAAAACTGAGGAAACCGAAATTGCACCTGATTCTTACATGTTCATGCACATGGTGAGACAAACACAAGGGCTTTATCTTCAAGACTCAAGAGAATACTTCCAGTTTTGACCTGGGACAGACAAAAACTAGGATAAATTTGTTTGCCAGGGAGATCTCATCAGGTTTAAATACGAGCATTGCAATTGCAAAATAATGTGACCTAGGATGTCACTAGTTGTAATTCTTCAGTTCACAGAACACAGTAAGTGCTGGCTGGCTCTTTAAAAGGTATGTGGGATGTGTACATATGTGCATGTGTGTATGTGTCTATCCATGCCATTGATTTTGTTTCCTTCTTTACCGGCATATTTCCATTAGCATTCAACTGCTTTAATTTCTCCCATCTTATAAAAACAACTCTACCCAACCTAATTTGCCCTTTCATATACTACATATACTTTTCTCTGAGCTCCTCTCCTTTTAGAGGAGTTTTATTCACTGTCTATAACTCCTCTGATTTTTTTTGAGCCCACTACAATTGGGCTTTCATCCCTACCATTTGCCCAAAACCCACTCATCAAGAGCACTAATGACCTCCACATTTCTGAGTCCAATGGTCACTTTTCAGTCTTCATTTTACCTGACTGATCAGCAACATCAGTACAGTTGATCATTCTATTTTCCTCGCAGCACCTTCTTCACTTGGTTTCTAGGATACCACCTGCCCTACCCACAGTTTTCTCCTACCACACTGGTTACACTTTCTCTTTTGCTAGTTTCTCATCCCCTCAAGACGGAATGTGCCAAGGCTCAGTATTTGCACCATTTTTCTCCTCTATTCTCAGCATCTGATGATCCCACCCAATTTCATGGTTCTCTACAGTATATACGCAGTGATGAACAGCTAATTATTTAGCCCTAAACCACTCTGGTAAGCATGAAAAATATAACATCCTCAAAACTGAACTTCTGAAATCTTCCCACAAACTGTTCTTCCCACAGTCTTCCCCATTCACGAAATAGCAATTATATCCTTATGACTGCTAAAGCTAAAAACCTGTAGTCCACCTGGATTCTTCTCAACATACCCTATACCCAATCTGTCAGCAAATCCCAGTGGCTTTATTCAGATCAGTTTTCACCACCAAACAGTAGTACCGCCCAGGCCCAAGTTGCTGTCTTTCCCATGGACTGTTATAACCGCCTCCTAACTGGTCTCTCAGCTTCTGTTCTTGGTCTCCTAGAGATTCTTCTCAACAAATCAAAGTTACCCTTTGGAAACTGAAGTCGGATCACATTTTTCCTCTGCACAAAATTAGATGGTCTACATTTCACTTGAAATCAAAGTCAAAGACCTTAAAATGGACCTCACGGCTCTGCGTCCTCTGGATCTTTATCACCACTCTATCATTTACCTTGCTCATTTTGCTCCAGTTCCTCTGCCCTCTGGATCTTGGGACTTACTGTTCCTTATGCTCTTCTCCCAGGCATCTGTAAGGCTCATTCCCTCATCTTCCTCAGACCTTTGCTCAAACGTCTCCTACCCAGGGAAGTTTTCCCTAAACACTTCACTTCAAATGCACAACCAGCACTCTCTCCCTCCACTTCATATTTCTCCACTGCACTTAACATCACTTGCATACCTTATATGTTTGTTTAATTAACACCACAAATACGAACTGAGTTCCTGCTATTTTCAAGATATTGCCCTACTTGCTGATAATACAAGTGAAAATAAAATAGATAAAAATCCCTTTTGGGACCTTACATCACATTGAGGGGTGAAAGACAATAAACGTGGTAAATCAGTAAAATATATAATAGTAACAATGCTACAAGACAAAAAAAGAAGAGGAAAGGATAGCAGATCTCCCCTTAAGAATGTAAGCTGGAGAAAAAGATTTGTCTTTTATTCATACTCTGTCTTCCGTGGCCATAGTGCCCAGCACACAGTAGGTATTCAACTCATATTTTAAAAATGAAATACAAGGGAGCTACTCAGTTCTTGGGCACATTTCCTACTTTTTAAGAACAATAATACCAAAAAAGAAAACGGTATCAGTTTATGATTCAATGGATAAAAAGGCGCTAATCTTTGAAAGTATGCCTTCCAATCCTTAAATTCAAAATAATTTGTATTATCTTTGCAGTAACCGCTAGGCACTGGCTCAAGAAAGGGTTTATGGATTGAGCGCTGTTCTGCTCCCAGCTAAGTCGACCAAAGATCACCGTAAGAGGCCACTGCCATAGCGGTACCCGTGCAACCTGTGACCGGAGAGGTTCAGGGGGCCCCGGGCAAAGGCGGGGACTGCTGTGAGGAGCCAGACAGGCTGCCAGGGAAAGGCAGAGCACTAACCTTTCCGCCGGAAGAGAAGAGGGAAGCGCTGAGGAAGCAGGCTCCGGTGTCCCGGCCTGGCGAACGAGCTTGCCAAGCGGCAGCAGGACCCAGCCGAACGCAGGAAGCCTCACTCCAGCGCCGGCGCCCCGCCCAGAGCCTGGCATCGCGCAGGCGCGCAGAACTCCCGGCTCGGCGGTCCACGTGACTGCAGAACCACGTGATCCTCCCGCCCCGACCTGTTCCGCTCCCGAGTTCCTGGGACCTCCCGGTCCCTGCCTGCTTCCGCCCACCGCCCGCTTCCTTATTCCGCTTCTGTCACCGCCCTCAGCTGACTCCGCCTTTGTCCCCGGAAGATCTCTGCATCCTCCAGCCGGCCATTGTTTGTCTCTTATGTGGACACCAAATAAAGTTTCTTTGTTCAAAAGCATTTTTTATTAGCCCCGTCCCTCAGTCTCTCAGCTCCTCCTTCGTGCCGGCACCGCCTCCTTCCTGCGCTGGGGACAGCCCAGCGCTGGTGGCGACCGCGCGGGAGGTGATGGCGGCGCCTCCGGAGTCCCTCTCCGGACGGGACGTAGGGTTCGTGTCGCGTGCCTCGCTCAGTCTCCCCCTTCTCCCCGCTTTGGCGGAAAGCCGGGCCTCGCTCGGAAGCCGCGGGTCGCCTCCGGGGGAGCGAGGCGGCCGGAGGATGCCGCTTCCGCGCCGGCTACGAGGCCGTTCTCGCCGCGGGACTCCGCTGCCCGGGGGTGTCGGCGCCTCTTCCTCCCACTCGCGGGGAGCGAGGCGGCCCCGGGGAGGGAAGTTTCCTCCGCCTGGCGCTGCTCGTGGGGCTCCAGACTCGGGCGGCCTCGGGTTGGCTTTGCAGCCCCTTCCCGGCGGTTACTCGTGGTCTCCCCGAGTCCGAGGGAACGGCCTTCACTGGGTACACTTCTCAGTGACCACACAAACATGTAAAACTGAGGAAACCGAAATTGCACCTGATTCTTACATGTTCATGCACATGGTGAGACAAACACAAGGGCTTTATCTTCAAGACTCAAGAGAATACTTCTAGTTTTGACCTGGGACAGACAAAAACTAGGATAAATTTGTTTGCCAGGGAGATCTCATCAGGTTTAAATACAAGCATTGCAATTGCAAAATAATGTGACCTAGGATGTCACTAGTTGTAATTCTTCAGTTCACAGAACACAGTAAGTGCTGGCTGGCTCTTTAAAAGGTATGTGGGATGTGTACATATGTGCATGTGTGTATGTGTCTATCCATGCCATTGATTTTGTTTCCTTCTTTACCGGCATATTTCCATTAGCATTCAACTGCTTTAATTTCTCCCATCTTATAAAAACAACTCTACCCAACCTAATTTGCCCTTTCATATACTACATATACTTTTCTCTGAGCTCCTCTCCTTTTAGAGGAGTTTTATTCACTGTCTATAACTCCTCTGATTTTTTTTGAGCCCACTACAATTGGGCTTTCATCCCTACCATTTGCCCAAAACCCACTCATCAAGAGCACTAATGACCTCCACATTTCTGAGTCCAATGGTCACTTTTCAGTCTTCATTTTACCTGACTGATCAGCAACATCAGTACAGTTGATCATTCTATTTTCCTCGCAGCACCTTCTTCACTTGGTTTCTAGGATACCACCTGCCCTACCCACAGTTTTCTCCTACCACACTGGTTACACTTTCTCTTTTGCTAGTTTCTCATCCCCTCAAGACGGAATGTGCCAAGGCTCAGTATTTGCACCATTTTTCTCCTCTATTCTCAGCATCTGATGATCCCACCCAATTTCATGGTTCTCTACAGTATATACGCAGTGATGAACAGCTAATTATTTAGCCCTAAACCACTCTGGTAAGCATGAAAAATATAACATCCTCAAAACTGAACTTCTGAAATCTTCCCACAAACTGTTCTTCCCACAGTCTTCCCCATTCACGAAATAGCAATTATATCCTTATGACTGCTAAAGCTAAAAACCTGTAGTCCACCTGGATTCTTCTCAACATACCCTATACCCAATCTGTCAGCAAATCCCAGTGGCTTTATTCAGATCAGTTTTCACCACCAAACAGTAGTACCGCCCAGGCCCAAGTTGCTGTCTTTCCCATGGACTGTTATAACCGCCTCCTAACTGGTCTCTCAGCTTCTGTTCTTGGTCTCCTAGAGATTCTTCTCAACAAATCAAAGTTACCCTTTGGAAACTGAAGTCGGATCACATTTTTCCTCTGCACAAAATTAGATGGTCTACATTTCACTTGAAATCAAAGTCAAAGACCTTAAAATGGACCTCACGGCTCTGCGTCCTCTGGATCTTTATCACCACTCTATCATTTACCTTGCTCATTTTGCTCCAGTTCCTCTGCCCTCTGGATCTTGGGACTTACTGTTCCTTATGCTCTTCTCCCAGGCATCTGTAAGGCTCATTCCCTCATCTTCCTCAGACCTTTGCTCAAACGTCTCCTACCCAGGGAAGTTTTCCCTAAACACTTCACTTCAAATGCACAACCAGCACTCTCTCCCTCCACTTCATATTTCTCCACTGCACTTAACATCACTTGCATACCTTATATGTTTGTTTAATTAACACCACAAATACGAACTGAGTTCCTGCTATTTTCAAGATATTGCCCTACTTGCTGATAATACAAGTGAAAATAAAATAGATAAAAATCCCTTTTGGGACCTTACATCACATTGAGGGGTGAAAGACAATAAACGTGGTAAATCAGTAAAATATATAATAGTAACAATGCTACAAGACAAAAAAAGAAGAGGAAAGGATAGCAGATCTCCCCTTAAGAATGTAAGCTGGAGAAAAAGATTTGTCTTTTATTCATACTCTGTCTTCCGTGGCCATAGTGCCCAGCACACAGTAGGTATTCAACTCATATTTTAAAAATGAAATACAAGGGAGCTACTCAGTTCTTGGGCACATTTCCTACTTTTTAAGAACAATAATACCAAAAAAGAAAACGGTATCAGTTTATGATTCAATGGATAAAAAGGCGCTAATCTTTGAAAGTATGCCTTCCAATCCTTAAATTCAAAATAATTTGTATTATCTTTGCAGTAACCGCTAGGCACTGGCTCAAGAAAGGGTTTATGGATTGAGCGCTGTTCTGCTCCCAGCTAAGTCGACCAAAGATCACCGTAAGAGGCCACTGCCATAGCGGTACCCGTGCAACCTGTGACCGGAGAGGTTCAGGGGGCCCCGGGCAAAGGCGGGGACTGCTGTGAGGAGCCAGACAGGCTGCCAGGGAAAGGCAGAGCACTAACCTTTCCGCCGGAAGAGAAGAGGGAAGCGCTGAGGAAGCAGGCTCCGGTGTCCCGGCCTGGCGAACGAGCTTGCCAAGCGGCAGCAGGACCCAGCCGAACGCAGGAAGCCTCACTCCAGCGCCGGCGCCCCGCCCAGAGCCTGGCATCGCGCAGGCGCGCAGAACTCCCGGCTCGGCGGTCCACGTGACTGCAGAACCACGTGATCCTCCCGCCCCGACCTGTTCCGCTCCCGAGTTCCTGGGACCTCCCGGTCCCTGCCTGCTTCCGCCCACCGCCCGCTTCCTTATTCCGCTTCTGTCACCGCCCTCAGCTGACTCCGCCTTTGTCCCCGGAAGATCTCTGCATCCTCCAGCCGGCCATTGTTTGTCTCTTATGTGGACACCAAATAAAGTTTCTTTGTTCAAAAGCATTTTTTATTAGCCCCGTCCCTCAGTCTCTCAGCTCCTCCTTCGTGCCGGCACCGCCTCCTTCCTGCGCTGGGGACAGCCCAGCGCTGGTGGCGACCGCGCGGGAGGTGATGGCGGCGCCTCCGGAGTCCCTCTCCGGACGGGACGTAGGGTTCGTGTCGCGTGCCTCGCTCAGTCTCCCCCTTCTCCCCGCTTTGGCGGAAAGCCGGGCCTCGCTCGGAAGCCGCGGGTCGCCTCCGGGGGAGCGAGGCGGCCGGAGGATGCCGCTTCCGCGCCGGCTACGAGGCCGTTCTCGCCGCGGGACTCCGCTGCCCGGGGGTGTCGGCGCCTCTTCCTCCCACTCGCGGGGAGCGAGGCGGCCCCGGGGAGGGAAGTTTCCTCCGCCTGGCGCTGCTCGTGGGGCTCCAGACTCGGGCGGCCTCGGGTTGGCTTTGCAGCCCCTTCCCGGCGGTTACTCGTGGTCTCCCCGAGTCCGAGGGAACGGCCTGCGCACCCGGCTGAAATTCTCCAGTTGTCCGGCCTCTGTACAGCGATCATTCAGGCGTTTTAATAGGCGTATAATTCGTGTAGAACAGTTTTAACTTGTTTGTAAAGTGAGTGAGTGTGTTTTTTCGTTTTCTTATTTTTTTTCTCCGTAAGACTTTTCTTGAAAATTTATGCCACTTACTCCCTTTCAGGTTGTTGCAGCGCATGGCTTTAATCATACTTAAAAATTTTTTACTTTAATAGCACTTTGGGGGAGTTAAAATTTGTAGAAGTTAGGAATCTCAGATCTGTCAAGAAATGTATTTCTTACAATTGCTGATCAGATTAATTCATAACCTCACTATAAAAAAATGCCTGTAGCTTTTCGCTTTTTAGGGGTCATGTCACATATTCTAGGTAAAGTTGTGGACGACCGTGAAAAATATATAATACTCACCTGTAGCATCTTTCTCTGTTGACAAATAGTAACTACCCTGGTTGGAGTGAGGATTTCGTAATGTGTAACTGTTGAATCACTGTGTTGTATGCTTTAAACCAATATAATGCAGTTTATCAACCATGCTTAAATTTTAAAAAATTGAAAAAAACACAATACCCATTTGTATAAATTGAATGGCCATATTTACATTTGAGATGTTCTTCAAAATATTGCAAGGCATAAGACACTTAGAAGAAATTGACTTTACTAGGAGTAGATTAAAGCCAGAGACACACCAGTGTCACGAAATTTAAGCAGGCACTGTCATGTTCCCTGGGAGGTCAATGCAGGGCGTGTGTACCTCCTTAAACTTTGTTCCCCGGGCATCTCTGGCCCCACCCTATTCCACCCTGTTCCTGACCTAGGGCTTTCCCTTAGAGATGGAGGTTTCTGAGGGAATTTAGTAGCTGAAAAAATAGTAATACTTAGCTCTTAAGTGAAACCTCAAAGGACTCACCTTGGAATATTGAACATTTTCAAAGTCTTGGAAAATTCAAACGTCAACTGATGTAACATTCCTTCTCTTCCTCTAAGGAATTAGTAGTGATTTTTAAAAGTTCAGATCAGAGTAGTTATGATGCATATTTAAACGTAATCGCCGTTTAGGATACTCATAGCACCAGAGTCAGGAAGCAGTTTTTTTCTTAATGTTTTACAGCTATCATTTGAGAAAGCCTCTTGAAGAAATACTCAGTAAAACCCAGTATTTTAAAAATTGAAGTAAGGTACCTTGGGTTTTTAGAAATGTGATGATCCAAAATTAGAGTAGGTGATTTTGGCCTCATGTATTTTCAGAAATTATTGTATCAACTTTCTTTGTTTTAAATACTTTGTCTCTGGTGATCTGAAGATATAAATGAGCTAATCAGCTAAATTCTGTGCTATTTAAAAATTTCTCAGAATTTCATCACTAAAGTCTGTTTTTATGCATTTCTTTAAAAAGCTAATAATATATATAAAAGGATAATCTGTAATCTTGGTTCTTATATGCCTAAAATGCAAAATTATCTTTAATATTTTTATGCAGGCATACTCAGGTTTTTCCTCATCTGCTTTCTTCATTCTTTGACATTTCTAGAAAATCTTTAATTTCTTGGTTGGGAGAGTGAGACAGTAACATGCCTCAGCTTTGTTTGAGGATAGAATAGGATGGAAAGAGTCAATCATTGTGCAGTAGAGAAGGCAGCAGGAAAAACCTTTGAAAATAATTAAAATTGGCCAAGAATATAGGCTTAATGCAAAGAGACAAGCAGGTTTATAAATGTCTTTATGTTCTTCATATTAAAGTCTTTTAGTTTACATCCGTTGCCTCACTCATCTTTCTAAGTTGTAGTCACTTAGTACGTAACAGAACTGGGACCAAAGCCTGTTTGAATTTTAGGATAATCCTTTTTCTTTCCTATCACATTGTTAAACTAGTTTCTGATTCAGGGAAAGAAAAGGAATAGAATAGGAAAGATAAGAATGATTAAACAGACTCCAGGGGAGAACCTGGGTTTACTGGCACAAAGACTGCTTAGCTTTTGTAACACACTAGAGAAGTTTTCAGTTTCCAGTGTCTTAATATAGTAGTTGTACAATGCTGGTTTACTTTATAATGATAGAACATAAGATGTTACTGATATAATATTGAATGAAAAGGAATTTTAATTTAAAGAGGTGGTCCAGAAACTGAAAGATAACAGTCTTCTAGTGTTAATGCTGCTAAATAACCTACCATGTATGTGACTCCCTTTTGTAGATCATTTGCATATCTTACAATTAAAGACAGAATACCACAGATCTTAACCAAGGTTATTGATACATTACATCGACATAAAAGTGAATTTTTTGAGAAACATGGAGAGGTAAGAATTGTGTTTTAATTTTAATTTTTTTGTTAAAGAGGTAACAAACATATAAGCAGTTTTCCATCTGTAATAATAGTCATTCCACCTGAAAATAAAGAGCTATAGTTCATAAGATAACATTTAAAGAAAAAAGGCATAATAAAAAAGCAGGATAATGTTGATAAGAGATCTGTGTGTGTTCTTTGACTTTCAACGTAAGAATTCTAAATTTAAATGTTTATAATAATTTATAGAATATGTAAAATGTAGTTTCAGAATGTAGTATTTTTTCTTTCTTGAGTTAAGGTCCATAAAACTGTGTTACCCTAGAGGACTTACATATACATTAGTTGTTTATAAGTATAAATTAAATATATATACATATATAGATTGTACATAGATACTTACATTTTTTTTTCATATTTCTGCAGAAAGGCATGGAAGCTGAAAAGAAAGCAATTTCTCTTCTTTCTAAATTACGGAATGAATTGCAAACAGATAAACCAATAGTCCCCTTGGTTGAGAAGTTTATTGATACTGACATATGGAATCAGTACCTCGAATATCAACAGAGTCTTTTAAGTGAAAATGCTGGGAAACCAAGGTGGTTCTATTCACCGTGGTTGTTTGTAGAATGCTACATGTATCGTAGAATTCATGAAGCTATGATCCAGAGGTAAGAATATAACCATCAAATAACACCTGTCTAGATAACTTAAGCTTTTTTTGAATTATAAAATGGTAAGCTTAAAAATAAAAACCAGTGGAGGCCTGAATTTAGCTCAGCAGATTAATGGCACTGTTGGACATTTCTGCAGATGTTACTGATATAATAGATTCTTGGCAATTATAATACAGTTGCCTAGAATAGACATAAGATTGAATATTGAAGTAGGAACTAATTAAAAATTCTTTTAAAGGCCCTTCTAGGGAAAAACAAAGTGTATTTATTGAGCAAAAAATGTTAATATGAAATACATAAAAAATCAAGATGGTATAAAATACACGTTTTGTTTATAAAAATGATAATATGTCAATTAATTTTGTGTAAGGATTCAACAGACCAGTGAATCACTGCATTGTTTTATGCACTATCTTAATCTTTTCTTTGTTAATGACTAGTTTAGAAAAAGACTAAATGTTAAACAAATAATTTTTTTACTTTACTATTATTAATGCTGGTTGATTGAGCGTTTTAAATTACCCTGTGCTATGATTAAGAACAGACACCAAAGATTTACTTTTACTTAGCAAACCTGTATTTTTGTAATTTGTGAGCTAAAAGCATGATCCACATTACATTTCGTTCTGCTCTATGAATCAGTTCTGTATCAGAATTTTCCTAGGTAAAATCACAGTATAAACAAAGAGGTAATAATAGTGAAGTAAAAAAAGTATTTTGGGAAACATGCATAAAATCGAGCCTATTCATTAGCTTCTTCTGTCTTAATCTTTATAAACTATTTTTTAAAATCACAATTTGTCATTTTTGCTGAATAAATATATTTTAGAACTGCTCTGAAAGCAAAATACACTATTAAAAACCTCACACATCACCTGGCATGCAGAAGACACCCAAGCAAAAGACTACAGCTAATACTAGGGGCTGTCGTACATTGAATACCAGCTACGTTCCAGATACTTCGCAAGCCCATGAAGTGTAGGCATGATTATGGTTTTCATTTTACAGTTAGGAAACTGAGGCTCAGAGTGGTTAATAACTTGCCCAGGGTTACATGCCTAGTGAATAGTAGAGCCAGTGTTTGCACCTGGTCTGTGTAAGTCGAATTAGAGCCCTCATCAAACTGCCCTTTTCCAGGCACTTGATTGAGATGTCTTTCAAGGATTCAGGGGAGTCTGAGATTCTGGGTGATAATTTCTTAATTTTGGAAAAATCTGTGGCATTAACCAAAGCTGCTAAAGTGTTGGTACACTGGGTGGCTCCCTGAACAGGTTTTGTGGAGCTTAGAAGTTAGGAAGGTAATAGCAACGCTGTTACTGGGTTTGATTTTAGAGGTGGATCAAGTTCAGAGAATTCAAAAATCTCGGGCTGAAGTTTACACACCTGCCTGCACATTTATCAGTTGGGGAAAAGGTGTTTTTTAAGCGTGCAGATTTGAAATTACTATAGTAAAATAAATACTGATGATTTATTTAATTTGTGCTGAAGCCTGGGCATCAGTCTTTCTTTCCATGCATCAGGGAGACTGCACAGCATGGGTTGACAACCACTGGTCCAGAATGACTTGTTAAAAGGGTTAGAGGCAAAATTTAGCTTTAAGCTCCAGGAATGAGAATGTTAGTCAGCTGTCTATGTAGAGCTCTCTTATGTTGATCTCTGTGGCATGTATTTGAACAGCTAGGGCTTTGTATTATATTGTATCAGAACTCAGATTTTAGGTCAGTGTAAGGAAGAACTGTCCTGCAGTTCACAACTAGCACTGATGTGGTTTTCAAATGTCCAGTTTGTAGGTTTCTTGTAGAAGGAATTCCTATCCTGACTCACTGACAGTTCCCAAGTGACCAAAGAAGGGTCTTCTTAACTTTGTAGGCTCCCAAAACACACGTTAGCTTTAATATATATTCATGTTGATTTTGTCTCATACTGAAATGTACTTCCGATTTTGTCAAGATGTGTATTTTGGTTTTTACTAGAGTTAAATAGTTGAATAGTCTGCAAGTCTAAATCAAGATTTAAAGTTTTAACCACATGTGAAATTTAATATATTAAGTATACTTTGATAATGAAAAATGAAAGTATGGGGAAAATAGAAGATGCTTTTAGGCTTTTATTAAAGTGTAGCATACAGCACAGTGCACATATCTTAACCATTCAGCACATTCAGCAGTCTTTGTCAGGACACACTTGTGTCCCTTGTCTCTAAATCAAGAGGCAGAACTTAACTAGGACCCCAGATCCCCTTTGGTCCCCTCGTAGTCACTGCCATCACCACTCCTCAAGGATAACCGCTATCCTGACCTGTGTTAGTTTTGCCTGTTTTTAAACTTCATTTAAATGAAAATTTATGGCATGTAGTTTTGTGTCTGGCTTCTTTCACTGAGCAGTATGTTGGTGAGATTCATCCATATTGTTGCACATTATTGTAAACCATTCATTTTCATTGCTGTATAGTATTGCATTTAAATCAATCTGTTTACCTGTTGTTGATGAGTATTCAAGTACTTTTCAGTTTGGGGTTATTATGAAGAATGGTCAAACATACAAACATTCAAACTCATGTTTTGTGAACATACATGTGTATTTCTGTTGGGTAATACCTAGGAGTGAACCACTGGGTCTAATATATACACATATGTAGCTGTAGTAGATTCTAAAAGAGCAAACATTTTAAAATCAGAAATTATATAGTTGTATGAGTTTTATTCTCTTAATACAAGAAATAAGGCTCATTCTTATTATGAGGTGTGACTTTAAACTAATGAATGATTTGTTAATAAAACACTAGAGCAAGTGTTGGAAAACTTTTCTGTAAAGGGCCAGGTAGTAAATACTTGTGTACTGCCACTGAAGTTCAGAGCTGCCACAGATAGTATGTAAATGAATGAGCATGGCTGTGTTCAATAAAACTTCATTTATGGTCACTGAAATTTGAATTTCACGTGTCACAAAATATTATCTTTCTGATTTTTTTCTAGCCATTCAAAAACGTAAGAAAACCATTCTAGCTTATAGACCATACACAACAGGAGGTGGGCCAGATTGTGTCTGCAAGCTACAGTTTGCTGATCCCTATGCTTGAACCTATGCATCCAAATAATTTATATCTTTTAAGTCACCGTGAAAGACCCGATTTGTTTCAACAATGCTGCCATTGCTAAAAACATCTTTTAATTCTTTAGAATTTCTTTCAGTGAGTTTACAAGCCTGAAAAAGAAATTCATCTCATTATTTTTCAGTCACTCCTCATTTTTGGCCAAAAATATTTTATTCCATTTGATTTACACACCTCATTCTACCAAAATTGCTCTGAGTGACTTTTGGCTGTTTCCAAAAATAAATTAACTCCAGAGGATAAAGATATGTATCATTGACAGGACATTTAATGATGTGCCACAGGTTCTGAAGAAAATGCCAAGGGAAGAATTCCAAAAGTACATTGAGCAATGGCAGCATCCTTGCAATAAGGGTGTCGCTTCCCATGGTAACTGACTGATGGGAAGGAGCAATCATTTGGATGTATAAACTCTGGTATGTTTTTATTTTATTTTTAATAATCCCAATATTCAGTAAGCTTTTACCGTAAGGTAGATGAGCCATGGGAAAAGTAGCTAATTTAGAAGATGAGATAATTTGAAGGTCTTTTATGTTTGATTCTATAAAGGCTCTTATGTTAGTATTTATGCCTTCTTCATTATGTTTTTCTTAGGCCAGTATTAGTATTGTTTGATCTCATTGGACATCATAAAGATACAGCCATGGCACATACTGTTTCATTGTTGGTCAGAGTCACCTTAGGAGTAAAAGTTACCGGAAAAAAATGTGTACATAAATGATCAACACTTGCCATTGTAATTAAATTTGTATTAGTATTGCCTGATTTATCTCAAGTGGTCATTGTGCTCCCATAATGCTGTATGTTTGAATTTATTAGTGATTACTACATTATATTCAAATGCTCTGTTTATACCTATGTTTGTTACTTGGAACCCTGCCACATTTAGCACCCAGAAAAATGTTAAACTAAAGCAATTTTCTTGAAAAGTTGTTTCTATTTTCTCCTTTTGCCATTGAAATCCTACTGGGTAAACAGTTAACGGGTATAGTCACTAAAAGTCTAATACTTCTGGTAGAATATTTGATTACCAAACTTTTGGCAATTGATTAAAATGAATTTGGGGGATTTATTTTATGTAATTTGATCAATTTGATTTATTTTGTGTATTTTTTAAATTATTTATTTTTGTGTAACTTGATCTGTGTTATGCTGAGTGTCTATTCTGATAACATTTTTGAGACTGGGTGCTACTATTCGCCTTCCTTTAAAGAACTGCAGCTATCCAAATGTTAAAAAAAAGGTACAGTTACATAAATGTTTCACTTACGTTTCTCTTATTCTTTAGTCCTCCAATTGATGACTTTGATGTATTTAAAGAATCAAAAAAACAAAATTTCTTTGAGTCACAGGAATCTGTCATTGCTTTATGCACTCACCTGCAAGAGTTGATGAAAACTATTGAAGCCCTAGATGAAAATCAGCTGAAAAATGAGTTTTTTAAACTTATTCAGGTAAATGTAATAATTTCTTGAGCATATTTGTTTATTTAAATAGTTAAAAAATAAACTGGTACTCATTTGACAAGAGCATGTGTATATATTGTCATTTAAGTTATAAGAGATCATTTTTTATCATTTTAGTAATAGTGTTATTGAAGAGATGAAAAAACCCATTTAATCTGTGAAAATGAATTTTGAAATCTCTTCACCTCCAACTGGAGGTGATTTTAGTGATACAGGAGTCGTCTGGCTATGTAGCTTCTGTCATTGTTGAGTGAATGCTTCCCAGTCATTAGATCTGCCCAGCCTGACTTGGCCTTGAATGCTGGCTCTGTGTCTCATTTATTTGTGTTAGAATCTGAGATAAGTTACTTAATTTCTCTGAGCATCAGTTTCCACATCTGTTAAATGAGGATGGTCTTGTATACCTCATAATTTGGTGTGAGAATTAAACTAGATTCATGCAAGTGTTGAGCACAGAGTCTGGAATGCAGAATGTGCTATTATCATCAGATGGAAACACTTGAGTGGTCAAAGGCCTATTTAATATGGTTTTATTACATTTCCTGTATATCTTGTGTTTAGTTTTTAATTGTCATTCAAAACATCTTGAATTTTAAAATACATTATTAGAATCAGAATTATTTGAAAATGTGTAGTTTTCCACAGCAGTGTCCCCAGCTCTCACTTCCCAGGTAAAGTTAGACACTTTTCTAGAAAGAGATGTTAGAAAGTGATATGAAGAGAAGCGAGAGCAGGAAGGGAGCTGAGAGATGGGAACAGGGGCTGTCTTAGGGCCTGCTGGGAAGGTGACTTGGGGAGAGACCTGGGGTACAAGAAGGAGTGGTCTTGCTTCTCTTGTGGGGGACAGAGGTCCTGAGGTGGGGGCCTCCCAGGTGTGTGAGGAGCTGTCGAGGATTCTGCTGGAATGAGGAGGAGAGGAGTAGTGGGGACTGAAGGGCCACAGAAGGCCTTGAAGCGAAGGTCAGAACTTTGCTTTTCACTCGAAATGGGAACCTATTAGAGGGTTTTGGTCAGAGGAGTAACATTAAATGACTTATTTCACAGGTTACTTCTGAGAACAGACTGGAGCAGGGAGATGTGTTATTAAGATGATATAGGTAAGAGAAAGTTGGTAGCATGAGCAATGTTAAATGTCACCAGATTCTGGATATACTTTGAAAGTAGAGGCTACGGAATGTGCTGACAGGCAGTGGGACAATGACAAAGGCCTGATGAAGCTTTAAGGACAAGCAGAGTGAGCTGAATGATTAAGAGGGAGAAGCTTATTTTGAGTTTGGAAGAAAAGTTGTCAGGCTATTGTTAACTAATAAACCTAGTTATTTTTTCCCCTTCTGAACTATTCTTTATGTTTGGCTTAGAATAAAAAAATCAACATGTTACTCTTTACCCCTAGCTAGCCCATTCTCTCAGGGAATAGTTTTCTCTGAATATATTCTTTGTCCCATAAGTGTAATAAATTGTGAAGGATACCAATCTCTTTTCTGTCATCTAATTCAGCCAGCTACCTCAGACCGCCTCTGCTCCAAGAACGTCAGAGTTGCCTCCCATTAGTGCTCATGATGACCAGCAGGTTAACTTCCTACAGGAAGCCTGAAGGTGTTTTAGTTTGCAGACAGTATTTATCTGTTTTTAAAAGCTGTTAAAAGCTGTAGAACTCCACCACTGTCCACACAAATATTTCAGTGCCTGTTCTGTCAAACACTGTTGTAGATGCCTTGCATGTGATGGTAAGAAAACCAGACCAATCCTTGCTATCATAGAACTTGTACCCTAAAGGGAATGTAGTTAGTCAAGTAATGGCACAAATCAATAAAGAATTATAATCTGGAACATGGTCTGAAGGAAAGGTGCAGGACGCCTGCAGAGATCTTGACTCAGGTGCCTTGACCTGGGGAGTACCATCCTGTACACTGTCTTTACAGCATTGTGTTTTTCCATCACTCAGATGCTTGCATTATTAAAGCCTTCCACTTTATAATGGATGAAAATCCATTCATTTATCTTTTTAAGATAGTACTGTGGTTTGGAACAAACATGCATTTTCCCCTTATTTTGAATCACACAAGAATAGTCTCTTTTAGCTACTATTTATTGAGAACTTCTGTATGCCAGCCATAGGATCTGTTACTTACACACATCCTGTCAGTTAATTCTCGTGACAATTCTGGGAGATAAGGGTTTATAGCATCTTGTTCTTCCATTGTGGAACCTGAGCCTTGGATATCACCTGTAATTTACCGATGGTCATTAATGGGAAATGCTGGGATTTGATCCAGGTCTGACTCCAGAGCTTGTACTCCTAAACATAATTTTAGTTATTGCTTAGAAAAAAAATCGGTTACAAACTATTTCCTACAAAAGAAGCTTTGAGTATTATTTCAGTTTAAAATGGAATAATAAAGTAGAGTTGGAGGGGTCTTCAGACATTACCTTGCCCAATTTATTTATTTATTTTTTGCCCAATTTATTTTACAAGTGAGAGAACTAAGTCCCACAGAGATTGCCTTGGCCCAAGGTTATAAAACTATTAAAAGAAATTGAGCTGTTTTAGGGGGGCCTGGGAGAAAAAATGGAATTTCTGTTTTTTCTCTTGACTCTAGATTATAAAGTAAACTTTGTGGCCTCTTTTTAAAGTGTCTGGCCATCTGCAAGATGCGAAACCTTTCATTATGATTAAACAATATGGGTCTTTAAAATCATTCAAGTCAGTGTTCTTAAAGCTCATCACAAACTGACTAAGTAAAAGTTCCATTGTTTGACCGTATTCATATAGAATCTTGGAAACATAGTCTTTGCATTATTAGAGAAAATATAGATTTGATGGACATTGTATATTAAGAGTTTTGTGGAAATTAATTTTATGAATGTTTTTAGCAACCTTTCTCCCCATAGCGTAGGTAATAGAGTTTTTGTCGGTTATTCAAAAGAAGGGTGAATGTTTTGTACTTTTTCTTTTTCAGATTTCACTGTGGGGAAATAAATGTGATCTATCTATATCAGGTGGGGAAAACAGTTCTCAGAAGACCAATATACTAAATTCCTTGGAAGACCTAAAACCTTTCATTTTAGTGAATGACGTGGAACATCTTTGGTCATTGCTTAGCAATTGCAAGAAAACAAGAGAAAAAACATCTGTTATTAGAGTGGATATTGTTCTGGATAATTCTGGTTTTGAACTTGTTACAGATTTAGTGTTAGCTGACTTCTTGTTGTCTTCTAAATTGGCCACTGAAATTCATTTTTATGGAAAAGCTATTCCATGGTTTGTTTCTGATACTACTATGCATGATTTTAACTGGTTAGTTGAACAAGTAAAACATGCTAATCATAAGTGGATGTCCAAGAGTGGGATTGACTGGGAAAACTATATTAAAACAGGCAGATGGGTTTACCATGATCATATATTTTGGACTCTGCCTCATGAATTCTGTGCAATGTCTCAGGTTGCTCCTGATTTATATGCTGACCTACAAAAGGCACATTTAATTTTTTTCAAGGGTGATTTGAATTACAGGAAGCTGACAGGTGACAGAAAGTGGGAATTTACCACTCCATTTCATCAGGCTTTGAATGGCTTCCATCCTGCACCTCTGTGCAGTATAAGAACTTTAAAAGCTGAGGTTCAGGTTGGTCTGCAACCTGGGCAGGGTGAACAACTCACAGCTTCTGAGCCCAGCTGGCTGACCACTGGGAAATACGGAATATTACAGTTTGATGGTCCACTTAGACTTGGTTTAGGAACCCTTCCTTAAATTGTGTAGGAAGATCCGACAGGCACTTTTCATTCCCAGAAAAGCAGCATGTGCATTTAGTCCCTTGGCTGCACTGCATCAGCTCTGAGAAGTTTTTGGCTTCTTGATGCTCATTTTCATACACTCTGGATGCTTAATTTTTCTTTGAACATTTTTTCCCACTACATTGTTATGGGGATAGATGGATTAAGCTAGCTACAGTATTTACATTTATGTTGAAATTTCAGTTAACATTTCAAGTTAAAACCATGATTTCAAGTGGTTTAATGAACATTAATTTTTAATTGGACAGAGCAAAATATAAGTGAAGTCTGCTTTTGAAGTTAACATTTAAAAAAAATACTATGCTGCATGGTGTTTACTATTCTAGGAAGCATGGAATTTTATATAATCTGATTTTGGGGCTCTAGAAATAGCAGCTCCATGAAAAGAAACAAAAATATTAATTTTAAAAAAACAACTGATAGTTGAGCACAAGAAAGTAAAAGTTACTCATATAATTCTAAATTTTGTTCTCTTTGACTTTTATTCTACTTCAATTGCCTGTTTTATTTGATTTTGATTTTACCTTGTGGAATGGATGATAGGAAACACAAAATTGAGCTGAATGAAACAGGATATTTGAAGAAATTTTTGTTACATTCTATGTGTGCTATCCATAATAAATTGAAATGTATTCTTTTAACATGTGTTTTAAATGAATAGATTTTTTTATTGGTCTGCAGTTAAGAAAAATGCTTTAGGTAGAAAACATTCTTGTGCATTGAAGTTGGAGTACTACCAATGAGTTAATTCAGTTTTTATATTTTACACATTTTTGGTGATTTCCAAATATTAAAGACTATTAAATTTCTAACTGAAATTGAAAATATGCCTGCAAGTTTCCTTGCCCTGAAATAATAAAATGAATTATACTGAAAAATCTCATTGGTTTTATTTTCCAAAGGGGAACAGTTATGGGAAGATTAAAACTGAGGTCTATATAATAAGCTTATAATGTATATTATATGTTACTAAAGCAGTTCTTGAATTATGTCACTTATAAATGAGGTTATAGTCTAAGCCCTGGCTAAGGGCTTAAAATTTTTTTTAAATGTGTATATTGAGGCCACCCTGCCCACTGCCCACAAGCAACTGGGGCTCCACAGCAGAGGAGAACCAGGCATTGGAGAGGAAAGAGTCCTGAGCTGCTAGGCACCACAGGATGCCTTCTGCATAAAGTCATTACTCTCTAGACCAGGAAGCATAGCAGATCCATCTAATACAAAGGAAGAAATACAGAAACCCTGACAAAATGAGGAGGCAGATAAATGTGTTCCAAACAAAACTACAGGATAAGACACCAGAGAGGGCTAAATGAAATGGAGATCAATATTCCTGAAAAAAATTTCAAAGTAACAATCATAAATACACTCACTGGTCTGCAGAAGTATATTAAAGATCTCAGGGAAGACGTCAACAAAGACAAGAGCTGAAGAATACAGTAACTGAAAACAAATGTGTAATGGAGGGGTTGCAGGGTATATTACTGCAAGTAGAAGAGACAATGAGATGAAACACAAGCTGAGAAACAGAAAAACAGATCTCTAGGAATGAAAGAATAAGCTGTGTAACCAAATGGAACAATATTCACACAATAGGGGTACCAGAAGGAGAAAAGGGAGCCAGAGGGATAGAAAGTTTCCGAGGAAACAATAGTTGAAAATTTCCCCAATCTTGGGAAAGAAAGACATTCAGATCATGAAAGCCTAGAGAGCCCCTAACAAAAGGAGTCCTAGGAAGATAACACCAAGACATAGAATTAAAATGGCAAAGATTAAGGAGAAAGAGAGTATTGAAAGTAGCCAGAGAGAGAAAAAAGGTAACAAAAGGGGAACCCCATCAGGTTATCAGCAGACTTCTCAGCAGAAGCTACAGGCCAGAAGGGAGTGGCATGAAATATTTAATGTACTGAAACGGAAGGACCTTCAACCAAGAATCCTTTACCCAGCAAGATTATCATTTAAATTTGAAGCAGAGATTAAACAATTTCCAGATAAACAAAGCCTCGAAGAATTTATAACCACAAAACAAGCATTGCAGGATATGTTAAAAGGACTGCTGTAGATGGAAATGTTCCTAAGACTAGTTTTTAAAGAGTGAAACTCATGGCAAAGGTAATAGACCAATTAATTACGAAGCAAGTACAAAATTAGTAGCAAAACCAACTATGTACTTTTAGACGGTGTTTGAAACAGCAATCAGCAACTTAATATAGACTGTTAGGTCAGGAAGCTATCATTGAACCTTTGGTAACCACAAATCTAAAGCCTATAATAGATAACACAAAAATCACAAAAGAAATCCAGCCACAACACTAAAGAAAATCATCAAATAATGAGAAAAGTATAAGAGGAAGAAAGGAACAGAGAGGAGCTATAAAAACAGAAAATAATAAAATGGTGATTAAGTACATTCCTATCAATAATTGCCTTAAATGTAAATAGACTGTATGCAACAATGAAAAGACAGAATGGCAGAATAGGTAAAGAAACAAGACCTATCTATATGCTGCCTACAGGAGACTCATTTCAGACCCAAAGACATAAACTACAAATGAAAGGACAAGATATTTCATGAGAACAATAGAGAAAAAAGCAGGATTAGCAGTACTTAAGACAAAAGGTTTCAAAACAAAGTAACAAGAGACAAGGGCATTACATAATGAGGAAGGGGTATGTCCAACAGGAGGATATAACCATTCAAAATATGCACACAACATAGGAGCACCTCAATATGTAAAACATACAGAATTAATGGGGGGAATAGATTACAATGCATTCAGTTTAGGAGACTAATACACCACTCACATCAATAGGTCAGCCAGACAAATATTAAGGAAACAGAGGCACTGAACAATACGTCAGATCAGATTGACTTAACAGATATCTACAGAACACTCCCCCAAAAGCAGCAGGATGCACATTCTTCTCAAGTGTACATATAATGTTCTCCAGAATAGATTACATTCTCAGACCACAATGGTATGAAACTGGAAATAAATTACCGAAAGAAAATAAAAAAGCCTACAAACATGGAGGCTAAACAATATGCTTCTAAATAACCAACGGATCAATGACCAAATTACAACAAATGAAGCAATACATGGAGATGAATGAAAACAAAAATTAAACAGTTCAGTATTTGTGGGATGCTGCAAAAGCTGTTCTAAGAGGGAAGTACCTAGCAATACTAGCTTACCTCAAAAAACAAGAACAATTCCAAATAATCTACAAAAAAATGGATATTAAGCCACACATTTTGAATTTACTTTTTTCTTATTAACATGTGTTCCCATTTCAAACATAATTACTGAAATACTGAACATATTGGAATTCTTTGTACACTCTTAACATAAGTTAGTAGCATAACTGTGTATTTGTAATGACTTCATAGCCAAGGTATGAGCTATTGTGAATGTATTACATTTTCTAAGCACTGGATTTTTTCCCCTGTTTTTATTAAGAATATGAAATTAAGATATATGAGGAAGTAGTCCACCCCCTCCTACAAGAAGAGCAAGCAAGAAAGGTGGAATTATGGAAAGGGAAGTCAATTCAAGGTGGAATTTTAAAGGCTAAACAGGAAGGAGGGTCTTTCTGTAATTTCACCGGTTAATTTGTTTTCATTTTTTTTAAACCAGCTTTCTTGAGATATAATTCACATACAATTCATCCATTTAAAGTGCACAGTATTTTAGTATATACACAGAATTGTGCAGCTATTACCAAAATCTGATTTCAGAACATCTTCATCACCCCTAAAAGAAGCCCTAAGCCCTTTAGCAGTCACTGCCCTTTCTAGTCTCAGCGTTTGGCAAACAGTAATTTACTGTGCATCTCTATGAAGTTGCCTATTCTAGATATTTCATATAAATAGAATTATAAAACGTGGTCTTTTGTGACTGGCTTCTTTTCAAGGTTCATCAGCTGTAGCATGTATCAGCACTTTATTCCTTTTTACTGCTGTGAACTCTGTAGGGATATACCACATATAGATACACCGTATTTATCTACTCATCAGTGGATGGACATTTGCATTTCCATTTTTTTGAGTATTATGAGTAATGTTGCTATGAACATTCATATACAACTGTTTTGTGAAAATGTATGTTTTCTTAGGGTATGTACCTAAGAGTGAAAATACTACATAACCTGGCAGCTATGTTTTACATTTTGAGGAACTGATAAACCATTTTCCAAAGTGTTTAGAGTGTTTTACATTCCCATTAGCAAAGCATGAGGGCTCCCATCCCTCCACGTCCTTGTCAGCACTTGTTATTGTTCATGTTTTTTATTGCAGTTGTGCTAGTGGGTGTGAAGTGGTATCACATTGTGCTTTCAATTTGCATTTTCCTATTGAATAATGGTGTTGAGCATATTTGCATGAGCTTATTGGCTATTTTTATATCTTTTTTGGAGGAATGTCTTCAATTCTTTTGCCTTTTATGTAAGAATTTGTACATATTCTGCATAAAGTCTCATTGATATATTATTGCAGTTGTGCTAGTGGGTGTGAAGTGGTATCACATTGTGCTTTCAATTTGCATTTTCCTATTGAATAATGGTGTTGAGCATATTTGCATGAGCTTATTGGCTATTTTTATATCTTTTTTGGAGGAATGTCTTCAATTCTTTTGCCTTTTATGTAAGAATTTGTACATATTCTGCATAAAGTCTCATTGATATATAATTTGCAGATATTTTCTTCCATTCTGTGGTTGCCTTTTTACTTTTTTTCTTTTTTATTAAGGCATCATTAATACACAATCTTATGAAGGTTTCACATGAGCAACATTGTGGTTATTACATTCACCCATATTATCTAGTCCTCCCCACACCCATTGCAGTCACTATCCATCAGCACAATAAGATGCTATAGAGTCCCTACTTGTCTTCTCTGTACTATACTGCCTTCTGTCTGACTCCCCACATTATGTGTACTAATCATAATGCCCCTTAATCCCTTACACCTTCCCTCCCCACCCTCCCTCCCCCTCCCCCTTCCTTTGGTAACCACTAGTCCCTTCTTGGAGTCTGTGAGTCTGCTGTTGTTTTCTTCCTTCAGTTTTGCATTGTTGTTCTACTCCACAAATTAGTGAAACCATTTGGTACTTGTCTTTCTCCACCTGGCTTATTTCACTGAGCATAATACCCTCTTGCTCCACACATGTTGTTGCTGATGGTAGGATTTGTTTTCTTCTTATGGCTGAATAATGTTCCATTGTGTATATGTACCACCTCTTCTTTATCCATTCATCTACTTATGGACACTTAGGAGCTTCCATATCTTGGCTATTGTAAATAGTGCTGAGATAAACAGGGGTGCATATGTCTTTTTGAATCTGGAATCTTGTTTTCTTAGTGTAAATTCCTCAGAGTGGCATTCCTGGGTCAAATGGTATTTCTATTTTTAGTTTTTTGAGGAACCTACATATTGCTTTTCACAATGGTTGAACTAATTTACATTCCTACCAACAGTATAGGAGGGTTTCCCTTTCTCCACATCCTCACCAGCATTTGTTGTTCCTTGTCTTTTGGATATTGGCCATTCTAACTGGTGTGAAGAGATAACTCATTGTGGTTTTAATGTGCATTTCCCCGATAATTAGCAATGCGGAGCATCTTTTCATGTGCCTGTTGGCCATCTGAATTTCTTCTTTGGAGAGGTGTCTGTTCAGATCCTCTGCCCATTTTTTAATTGGGTTATTTGCTTTTTGTTTATTGAGGTGTGTGAGTTCTTTACATATTTTGGACATTAACCCCTTATCAGATATGTTGTTTATTAATATATTCTCCCATACTGTAGGATTCCTTTTTGTTCTACTGAT